CTCTGATCTTCCTCAGCCCCTCCCCCTTTACTCTTCCTGCCACTCCTTCCTCTTGTCTGGAGCTCCACCCACACCCTGTGTTTCTGCCACTTCTGGGGGATCTTTTGAGCCCAAAAGACTGAGGTTCCTGTGAGCTATGACACCATGCCACTCTACCCAGGGTGACAGAGTGAGACTCTATCTCAAAAAAAACTGAAGTAAAATAAAATCGCCTGGATAATTCCAAAACATGCACACATATGTGTATCCTCACATCCTTACCAGAAGGATGGTGGAGTTTCCAGCTGCAGTGTTAGCCACTGAGCAGATGACTACAGTGTCTGAGGGGGCCCCTTGGAGAAAGTTGGAAAAGGTAAAATCTCAAGATTTCAGAACCTTCAGGTAGTTTTTCTGTTCTTATCTCTTCTTCTCTTCTCTTCTCTTGTATTTTGTTGTTGTTTGATGGAGAGTTCATTTATTGGAAGCATCCTTCTCTGCATCCAAAGTGGAGCCTTCATCTTTAATCAGTAGTTCTATTAGACAATCCTTAAGCCCTCCCCACTCCATCTTAATTCCCCTATTTCATGCAGTTCTTTGGAGATCTTCTTAACATCACCATCTTCTAATACATCTGGTTTTACTTTCTAAGTGAAGACTTCATTAATAGCTATTAAAGTTTTCTGGTTTTTCCTCCTAGGTCCTCAACCTTCATCTCTCACTCTGACTTAATTCTCTGCCATACTTCCCCCTAGGTGTTCCTTCTCTGCTTTAAATTGCTATTTCTAGCCCCAGGAGCATTTCCTTCCCAACAGGCTCCTGAAATAATGAACAGATAGAATTTGCTCCTTTGTGTTTTCTTATGATTAGAACGAACCTACTAAACTAGGGAGAAGTCTGAGCTGCTACTAATATTCCCTGCCCTTTAAGAGGTGCAGATAAATTAGCTGCTCTGGCCTCTGAACACTTGTGTGACTTACACAACTTTCCGCTTGGCAGGTACATTTCTGAATACTGTTATATGTGTTCCAATAAACCAGCGGTTCTCAACTTTCCTAATGCCACGGCCCTTTAATACAGTTCCTCTGGGTCATGAGCCACATGTTGAGAACCGCTGCAATAAACATTCCCACGCTTGTGCCATAGACCATTTCTTGATGTTTGACCTCACAGGTCACATTCTTGATATTACTGGTCCTGTCTGATGTTACCAAGAGATAAAGAGGCACACACAGGCCAGAAGAGGTGTCACATCTTCGGTTAACTCTTTGCATTGGGGGCTCATATACACATTTATGAACCTACCCCTTATCAGCTGACATTGGTGAGCAGAGTGCCAGTAAATCTCTAGATATGGAGCCTGTAAATCTCTTATGCTGGTTTCATCAGAAGCTCTCCTCCCACATGGCTCTCGTTCTCTTCTGATCAGGTGGAAGAGGCCCATCTGGTCCCTTTTTAAGCACAGTCTTCCCTTCTTAGTATTCAGCCAGGTTCCTCCTACTAAAGTAGTGTCAACCCCACCATTCTCCATAGCCCCCAGGCTGTCCCTCTAAGAAGTCTCCAGCCTTGCTGAGTCCTGTGCTCGGCCCTGCTCCCTGCAGGCCTCCCCATTTTATCAGGAGCCGCATTAATTCTTCAAAGTGCCTCTGATCTTCCTCAGCCCC